TGGGGTAGCTGTGGGTGGGGGGCGATGCTGGCACCCACAGCAGCGGTGGGCGAGCGGGCGCTTCCCACTCCCAGGGACCCGCACACGGGGACCCGTTCTGTCCCCAGCCCCCAGCCCCGCTCTTAGCTCCACACGTCCAGGGAGTACCGGCCCTTCGTCATCAGTTTCTTGACGTAGTCCACGGCCTGGGGCTGGCTCATGCTCCCGAACTCGGCCACGATCTCGTAGAAGGTGTTCTGCACGTCCCGGGCCATGTTGCGAGCGTCGCTGCAAACCAGGGGAGCATGAGCGGGGCGCTAACCCTAACCCTGGTCATGTCCAAACACCCCAGCCCCTCTCCCTGGCCACGTGCCCTGCCCCAGAACGAGGACAGTGTAACCCTCCCCATACACAAGTGGGTAAACTGAGTCACGTTCCTTTTCCCCCCAGAATAGGAGTGTTGTCCCAAAGTCCCTTCCCTGCTGTGGGGGGGCTTACCCACACACGTAGATATGAGCGTTCCCCTCATTAATCAGCTTCCAGATGTTTTCCTTGTTCTTCTTCAGCAAGTGCTGCACATAAACCTGGCGGGGAACAAGGCAGGGGTGAGCCGAGAGCCCCCGGTCACTGTGAGGGAGGGGAAGCCAAACCCCTGCTCGTGGCTCCACAAAAGACAGCGAGGCGCTGGGTGCTCCTACGCTGCCTTCCCAAGCAGGGAGGGCTCCAGGTTGGGGGGGGTCTCCAGCCCTCGTGGCCTTTTTGGGGCCACAGCTGGGAGTGAGGGAGGGCAGTGTGAGCAAAGGCGGGGGCAAGGGCAGTACCTTCTCAGCCTGGTCCCTGGAGAAGGCGACGTTGAGCTGGGTGAGGACGCCCTGGTGATGGAAGCGGGCCAGCTCCTCGCGGTACAGGTAGTCCTCGCGCTCGCGGCGGCAGCCCGAGCGCGCTGGGGGCGCCAGCCGTAGTACAGCACCGTCTCGCCCACCTCTTTGCCTGCAGAGTCACACAGCGCCCGTCAGCCACCCCCCACCTCGTCCCCCTGCACCTCCCCTTGTCCTGCCCAGCTGCACAACCGCTGCTTGTACGGGGAAACCCGAGGCCGGTTCCCAGAAGTACCCAAATGCTTCAGAAATGAGTCAAAGCAACGCGGCTGTGGTTATCCAGAGTCGCGGCGGTGGAGGCCAGAGCTGGCTCAGGTCCATCTGCCCCCCAAACATCCTCTCCCTCATGCTGGGTCAAACCACTTCGCTGCTCTCCACCCCGCTCCACCACCTCTGCTTTGCCCTGGACCCAGCAGCGATGTGAGCAGCACGAGCTGCACCCTGGAGGCACCGACCGGCCCCGCCGAGCGCCGTCCTGAGCGGCTCCTGTCCCTGGGGGTGCTCCCGGGCGCTCACCTTGCTGCTTCAGCCAGGCCCGCTCCTGGATGAAGCCGATGAAGGGGGCTATGCCAGTCCCTGGTCCAATCATGATGACGGGCGTGCTGGGTTTGAAAGGCAGGCGAAACTGCGACTTCCTGACGTACATGGGCACCAGGGAGCTGCTCCCATTCCCGTTGGGCACCTTGTTCTTCAGCCAGTGGGTGGCCACCCCCTTGTTCAGGCGCCCCGTCTTGGTCTCATACTCCACCGTCACGGCGCAGACGTGGATGGCGTTGGGGTGAACCTGCAGGGACGGGGGTGTCAGCGCCAGGCAGAGAGGGGGCCCCAGCAGCTCAGTCCCTTGCGCTTAGGGATGGAGAAGTTTAACCTAAGGTTAATGCTGGGACAGCTCTTCCTTCCCTGGCAGATCAGACCTCCCTCCATGTCCCACATGGGGCTTCTGTCTCGCACCTGACTCATTGCAGGACCACTGAGCTTCCCTTGGTTATTGCCAAGAACCTCAGGGCTTCAGGCACAAAGTAAAGAGTGAATTTTCACCAGTCCTTAAAATGTCACCTTGCTCCCCAGCCCTGAAAGCAAGGCCTGTGGGCGAAGAGGAGCAAAGGTGGTGGCAACGAGGGCACAGCTGACCGCGGCATGGGAGCCCCTGCAGACCCTGTGAGGGGTGGGATCACCCCCTCTTCTCATGCACACAGAAAACTAAAGCTGCCCCCTCACAGAAAGTGTCACCAGGACAAGTTCCCCACGCCTGGTTCCCAGCAGAGAGGGGGACGGTGGCACGGCGCTGCTGCTGAAGTGGGGTCTCAGCAGCCTCGGTCCCTGTGAGGAGCACACTCACCTTGGAGGAGGAGGCGATGGAGTAGTAGCGGGCCTGCAGGCGGGGCAGGAGCTCACACAGGTGGTCAATGGGGGGGCGCAGCGAGGGCATGTCCTGCAGGATGGCCAGGATGTTCCTCCGGGCCTCCACCACCCAGCTGAGGTAGAGAGCCTGCAGGTAAGGAGGAAACACGTGTGACGACCTCCCTGCGCAGCAGGCAAGCACCCACTCCTCCCTCTGTGTCTAAAAGACCTGGATCTGCCCATTCTGGGGAGCCCCCAGCACCCAGTTCAACCCAGCAGCTCTGCTGGGAAGGCCACAGCTCCCACCTTCCCCTCCACAGCAGACGATGCCATCTTGCGGAGGCGCTCCTGCTCGCCGGCGTCGGTGGCGTACTGGGCCAGCTCGTAGAGGACGTTGGTGCGGGGCGGGTTGGTGATGTCCAGGTAGTACGTCAGGGCCGTGCGGTACGACGTGGGGCACGGGAAGGGATGCTTCTTGTTGGATTCCTCTGGAGAAGAGAGGGAAAAAACCAAACAGATTAAAAATCAGCAACCGCATGCTGCTGTGTCAGAGATTTCACGCCAGCAGCTACGGGCAGTGTGGGAGAGCTGGAGACAGAGCAGGGGAACGGGCTTCAGGACCACCCAGGCCAAGCATGAGGCCGTTCTCCACAGCGAATTTGGCCTTACACACCCACACCTCCTTCAGATCTGCCTCAAAAATGTCCTCAGGCTCCTTAGGGACAGTTGTGCTCAGAGTCCCCTTAGGAAAGGCAAGCACCAGCAGCCGAGGCTGGAGCCAGCAGTTTGATAGAGGTCCATAAGGGACAGGAATGACAGCGAGAGGCCAAGGAACCTGGGACACCACACAGGGGTCTGCCAGCTCCAGCAGTGCATTACAGCCACTTGCTGAAACCAGGAACCAGCTCCTGGGCCAGCACCTCAATGCCTCAGGCCAAGCTGCACTGCTTTGTGAGTACGAGGGGCAGCAGCTGCCATGTGCTGGGAGCACTGCCCAGGAAAAGCTCTTTGTGCCACACAAGCGCTCCCCACTGCCAGCTCAGGCCCCAAGGCTGTGCCTCTCCAGGGACTGAATAGCAGCATCTCAGGCACCAGAGCCTCTGCTGAGCTCGGGGCTGCCGCAGCAGAGGGATGCTCTGATGCTCTGTAATTGGGAACGTGCTGTTATGCAATTTATTTTCGAATGGGTACACCAAGCACGTTTCCCAGCTGACCCACTTCAGCTGGCTCCCTGCAAGCAGGCTTCGTGCCACTGCTGCCAAAACCGCACGGCAATTCGGAGCAGCCATGGGACGCCTGGAGGTGTCCTACGGGACCTGAAGGTGACCTGGCTCCTGCTCTGGTGGGAAGGAGAGCTGCTGGTGCTCAGGGGTGATCCATACTCACCGTCCAAGTTGTTCAGGGACATGACTGTGTCCAGATCTGTGCCCAGGATCTCGCCAATCTGGTTCACCAGAGAGGAGTCGTTGGCTGGGTACACCGCCACATGGTCCCCAGACTCATACCTGGCACGAGAGCAGGTGAAACACATGGGTTTAAGATCCAGGTCTTCCACAAGGGACCTCCAAGACAACTGTTTTGCCACAGCCTTGAACAAGGCCAGGCTTTCAGCAAGGAGAGGCCAGCAGCAGAGCCGCTCAAAACCTCTGCAGTGTTTTGTTCTGTTAAGCCACCTGCATTCGTGGCTTTCTCACAAGCACACACACAGAGGAATTTAAGCCAGCCAGAGAGTTTTTAACAACAGGGCTTTATTCCCCCTACGCTCGTACTCCTACACCAGGCAAACCCAGACATGAGCCATCACCAGCTCTTCCCTCTCTCATAGCTCATTTGCCCCCTCATTTTTTGAGGGACTCCTAGGGAATCCGTGCAGCTGGAGGGATGCAGAGCAGCAAGCTGGCAAGGCCAGGCACAGTGCAAGAGCCAGGACAAAGACCTGACACAGGGCACCTGGTATGTGGTACAGAAGCCCAGAGGGGCAGTGTTAAGTAATTATGAGAACAAGGTCCCCTTCTGAAGTGCTGGATGAGGCCAGTGCCACTCCCTTGTTCTTTGCTCCTTATGCAGACTGCTCCTGCCAAAACTGAGCAGCAGGCTTCCTGTGGGAAATACCTGATTTTGGAATTGGAGATATCCAGCTCCAGGTGCATAAGGTGCCGCTCTCCACCCTCGTTCAGCTTGCGGTTCTCGGTAACCTGGGCCAGGAAGGGGTTCTTGGCATCAAACGGGCTGGAAGGAAAGACAAGGACCCTCTGGGTTACTCCTGCAGGCTCTCTGTGCTTTCTGTACCCAAGCAGTCTCCCATGATTTGAGCGTGGGCCTGTCCTGGCTCTTGTTTTCAAAGCACACCACAAACCAAACGATGATCGTGCTGCTACCCACAGCGGCAGAGAAAACCGACCATTTTCCTTCTGAGCACAGCCCAGCAGTCAACAGCTTCTGTCCCATTAAGAACAAGTGATGCAAAAGTGGATTGGAGGGAATGCCACATCTCAAAGAGAAATTTCAGTTCGGAAATAATTTATACAGTTGATCTCCCAAAGCTAAACTGCAAGCAACCATCAGGCATTGGCTACCCTGGACAAAGAAGGGCCCTGAGTGACCTCAGGACAAACGTACCAGTCAAACAGCACATGTGAACACAGCCACCTCCTCACACAGTAATGATTCATTAACTGGGGAATCTCTAAAGAGTCCCAGTGAAGATCTGAGCCCGTTTCTCTTGGGCAGAGACCTGGCACTTTGCAGAAATGTCACTGCCCGCACCACGGTGTCCATGACCCGTGTGCATACAGGGTGGTTTGACACTTACGGCTTCTGGTTCTCGTAGCTCTTGAGACGGCCCATCTCACCCGTGTAGACCTTGTTCATGTTCACATCTGTGTGCACCACCAGCTCATACTGACGGATGCTAGAGGAGGAACAGGGGGAGAGAAAGAAAAAGGTCAAACTGGGAATCACAAGGTACAGCTGGAACCACCATCTGTGCTGTGCTGGATTTGCTGCAGTTCAAATGCAACTTTCACCCCTTTGCCCCTCTCGAGACATGAGGGATCAGGCAGAGCATGCAGAGAGCCCAAACCAAGAGGAAACAGCAGCTTCACTGGGAGGTGACACGCAGGAGCGGGGACAGTGGCTCAGGGCTGATGGCACAGCCACCCATCGGAGGATGCCAATCTCATGGCACACAAACGAACCCGCTCCCGTACCCACCTGGACTCTTCTCCTGTAGCCTCCACCCCAAAGTGCTCGCACACTGCTGGCCAGAACTGCTCTCTCCAGGTGATGAAGTCTTCTTCCAGGCTAGCCAGGGCAAAAGAAACGTTCAGTAACATTGAATGGCATCGTAACATTGACGGCATTCCCAGAGGAGCCATCTGAGATCCCTGCAGACTTCATCCCTTCACTGTGGGAAAAGGCATTTGCCCTTGGCTTGGTCTCTAACCAACACAGCTGCCCCTTGCCCACTCCTGGTATCAGGTCACCTTCCCAAAAGACAGATTCCACCATGGCAATGCTTGTTTTTCTGGGCTCCCACACACAGCACATCCCTCTCATCAGATCTTGCAGCCCTTGGAGGTAAAGCCACAGGCTGATGTGATTTCCCAGATTAAGCTGCTACTCACAGGGTGCACAGGTAAGCACAGAGAGCTCCAAAAAACCCAAACCGAAACCATTGTTCGAGTTGGAAAATTGCTGCTTTCCATCATAAAACAGTTCACAAGGAGACAGAGTTTGCCTCCTCCACAGGGATGAGTGAGTTTATCCATAGAAGCCAGGTTAGCAACGGCGCTGCAGCAGGGCAAAGGCACAGGAGGCAGCAAAGTATGGCATAGAACCATGGTAATTTAAAGCTGATCCCAGACACAGGATTCCCTAGGATACTCTAAGAGTACAGGGATCTGATCGTGGGAGAGAGAGCAGACAGACACATGCTCAGAGACACGTCAGCCCCCACAACCAGCCCTGTGGAGTCTATTTCTGTCTCAGTAGAGCCAGCTTCCTGCAAGGTCCCTTCCTCAACGCTTTGGCCAGCTCCGACCAGCCCTCCAAGCCAAGCTACTCACTTGCCATCGTCATCTCCCAGCCCCAGCTCAAAGATGCGCTGGGCTCCGAGTTCCTCCAGTCTCTTGTCCACATACTTGCCCATGGCATTGAAGTGCTCGTAAGTCTTGTTTCCCAGTCCAAAGACCTGGAAGGGAACACTGATAAGCGTGGAGAAACAGGGGCTGGATTTCTCCCACCCGGCCAGCATCCTCTGGTAAGCAGCACTCAGCAAAGGATGTTGAGGAAAAAGCATGGAAGACGAGACAGCAAGACCTCTCCCAGCTTCCCATTTCAGCTATTTGGGGACCACGAAGAAGAATTGCCACTGGGGAGTGTATGGTCAGCAAGAACCTGGTCCTCCAGGGACCAGTAAGAGCCTAGACTGCTTGGAGACCAACGGCTGTCCCTCACCTCCCACAAACCGCTCAGCAAATGTTTGCTCACTGCTTTACACAAAGCAGCTTAACATTAACTCCAGCAGTGGATTTTCTCCTCATTTGCAATTATTATGCTGCCTGAGGAATCTGGCTGGGGTTTAGGTGAGGCAGCTGTACCTCAGCCAATTATTCATCTCAGCGCAGGAAGAACTACACACTCCTCCAAGTGATTTAATTTGCAGGAGAAGATCTGGCCCAGGGCTGCTCAATTAGCTCCTGAACAGCAGCAGGCGCCTGTAATTCATTTACAGACCGTGAATTTAATGCCTGCTGGGCTGTTTGCGGCGAGACATTACCCGTGAACCTTGTGACTTACGGTGTGAGAGCACTCCCACATCCACATTTAAGGCCCCCAGAAAACATGTTCACAAGTGTCCAGGAAGTTTGGAGAGGAAGACAAGAGGAACCACATCCAACACAAGCATACAAGGCACAGACGTGTTGTGCGTTCACCCAAGCCATGCAGAGTGAAAGGCTTTTGACTTTCCCACCCAGATGCAGCACAAACGGGAAATGAGCCACTCACCGCGAATCGGAGACCGGACAAGTTGGCGTCCGCCTCCTGCAGCCAGTCATAGAAGTCCTGAGCGTTGTCTGTGGGATCGCCCTCGCCGTACGTGGCCATGCAGAACACAGCCAAGGACTTGTCGATCTCAGAGAGGCGACTCAGGTCCGACTGCAACCAAGGGAAAGAACAAACCCTCGAGGACCCTACCGCATGGTTATGGGCAAGCCCGTTCCTACAGCGCAGCTACCTCCGGTGTGCAGAACAGCACCACGTAATGAGAAACAGCCGATTACAAAAGGGGTTCGAAAAGACCAAACCCACTGAAAACATCAAGGGAAATAAAGCTGATCACCCTCACCAGACTGCAAGTCAATACTTCTGTCCCACCAGGAAAGCAATGGGATTACCCATACAAGGTTTTAAGCGCTAAGGATCGTGGTTCACTCTGCAGAACAGCACAGTGCCAACGCCTCTGTGCAAGTGTGGGACCAGTGCTGACCACAGAAGGAACAGCAGCAAGTTTCATGCTGCCAACGGATGACTCTCAGCTCCAAACCACTCCAGGCCACCTTCCTCTTTCAGTCATGTCTCAGAGTTCACCCCAGATCTGCACAACAGCAAGGACCAAGCCCATCTCTGCATCTCTCAGGCCAAACCGAGTTCCTTTCCTCCCCTAAATGACACTACTAAAAGGGCAACTGTCTCTTGGCCAGGCTCTTTTTGGGGTTTTCAGGGACACTAAAAGGATGTTCCCCATCCTGAGGCTGTTCATGGCTACGTTACCAAGTCGTACTCCTCTGGATCCGCTGCCATGCCCCGCAGGCCGTAGCGATGAGCATCTTTGGCGAGGCGATTGGCAAACTCCTCCGCTGTACCTGTCTGCGAACCGTAGAAAACCACTATGTTCCGCCCCTGGAGAGACAAAGAAACCCCTGTTAAATGGCAATTGCTCACATTTGGCAAACACCCAGAGGAAGCACATCTTGTTAGGGACAAAGGAAACATCAGGGATCAGGAGCTCTGGATCGCAACCTAAAGGCAACTGGGAGTCTGCACTTGTATGGGGCTCCACGCTGGATCTGCAGCAGAAAACTCAAGGCTCAACTGTTAACAAGAACACGACTCCTGTCGGTCTCTGAGGGGTGACTCAGGTCAGACTAAAACCCCATGCAAACAAACCCTCGAGATTATTCTCAGCTTCAAGGCTGCAGCACAACTCCTGGAAACAGGGAACTCCCTGGATGAGGAAGCAGAGTTGCCTAAGCTTTGGGAAAATGCCTAAGCACCGGAGCTCCTGCTCTGCTTCAAGCCAGCGGCTTTGAAGCAAAACGGAAAACGTATCCAGCTCTTCACAGAATCACAGAATCCCAGAACGTTAGGGATTGGAAGGGACCTCCAAAGCTCATCCAGTCCAATCCCCCTGCCGGAGCAGGAACACCCAGATGAGGTTACACAGGAAGGCGTCCAGGCGGGTTTTGAATGTCTGCAGAGAAGGAGACTCCACAACCTCTCTGGGCAGCCTGGGCCAGGGCTCTGTCACCCTCACTGAGAAGAAGTTTCTTCTCCAATTGAAGTGGAACCTCCTGTGTTCCAGTTTGTGTCCGTTACCCCTTGTCCTGTCATTGTTTGTCACCGAGAAGAGCCTGGCTCCATCCTCATGACACTCACCCTTCAAATATTTTTAAACATGAATGAGGTCTCCCCTCAGTCTCCTCTTCTGCAAACTAAAGAGACCCAGCTCCCTCAGCTGCTCCTCAGAAGGGAGATGCTCCACTCCCTTGATCATCTTTGTAGCCCTACGCTGGACTCTCTCCAGCAGTTCCTGTCCTTCTTGAACTGAGGGGCCCTCTTGCTGCCTCCTCTGCTTCCTCTCGTGTTCAGTCCAGCACACAGCCAAAAGCTGCCCATCCCGTGTACAATTCCCATTGCAGAGTGAGCCAGTCTGGGAACCAACCACACAGATCAACAACTGCCAGTCAGTGACTGATTTCAAGTCGCTGCTATTTCCCTCCTGACTTTGATCTCGTATTACACATTGTTTTCATCAAATTTTCTCTAATTTTTTCCCCTAAGACCAACTCTTAGGCATAGACCGAGACCTATTCCTGCCTGCTTCCCTTCCGCTGACAGCATCCATAGGGAACTGGGAAGGACACGAGCCCCCCCACCTCCCCAGCACCCCGCACGTTCAGAGCGAGCAGCTTACCGTCTTCTTCATCTTCTCAATGAAGCTGCTGTCCCTCACCGGAGCTGCGCTGAAAGACAGGAGGAATCTCTTTTCAGATGGGCATGTTCGTTCTTTCAGGTCAGGAATAAGCAAGTGGGGAAAAAAAGCAGCCCCCCAAACCATACTGGATCTCAGGAATTCTTCCCAAAAAGAGAGTCCCCATCAACCGCTCTGATTTACCCCGTCCCAGGGATGCCCATTGCTCAGCTGCAAGGCTTCTCCTCTGCACACAGCCAGGGAGCAGGGACTCGGGGAGCATAGGGAATAGCTGATGCCCTGCACCTTCATCAGTAAATCCTCCTGGTCCCCGCCTTGAGCGTCAGGAAAACTTTATCCACTGCTCCAGAGGTTTCACAGCTCAGTGGGTTACAGGGTCTTGTAGAGATACTACACAGGAGTGAGTCTCCAGGTAAATCTCAAGGGCCAAGCGGCAGTGGAACAAAGGGAACGGAGAGCTCCCTGCTCCCACCACAGCACAGGCAGGGCATGAGTCCTGAGCCATGCCCCGCTGGGGGAGATTCCCCAGGCTTGAAGTCAGGCAGGGCCAAAACCCAACTTTTCTACCTCAAATCAGTCCACCAGACACAAGTGCCAGTGCTGGAGAGCCCTGCGGAGCAGACAGGCACACAGAGCAGACCCACAGAGCCCCTGGCAAGGGTCCATGGGCACCAAGGTCCCGCAGGGCTCCTTCCCACGCTGGGACTTCCATCCCGAGCGCAGATCCAGCACAGAGAACATTTGTGCTATTGCATGGAGGCGGCTTCCTCCAGCTCGGAAGTGGGATAAACCACAGCGGCATCAGAAACATCCAGGCAGAGACTCACCCTGCTATGGCTGCCCCATTAGCTGGGAAGCCAGAAGAGCTTTGCTCTCCTAAGGACACCCATGGGTTTTCAGTGTCATGAGGTGAAAGCAACCCAGGCCAGGGGGCCCTGGGAGCCCCCCAAAGCAGAGGTGGCTCCAGCTATGGTCACATCAGGCACTGGGGTCTTTTCAAGGCAAGAGGACAGTGCCAGGAGCTCACTCGTTGTCCCTAGCAGGGAGGAGGGACATGGGACCCGTTCCCATTTCTTTTTCACAATGGAAGAATGCAAGGCTGGGTCTCCTGTGGGAAGAGAGAAGCCTCCAGGCAAGAAACAAATGCTTTTGGCTCCAGCCCATGTGAGAATGCGCAGAGCTCGCTAACAGTTTCCTAAGCTGTGCAGCCCAGAAAGGGGAAACCCTGCGGATGTGCTGAGACATTTGCAGAGCGCACACATGGAGTGGCAGAGTGGGGGGGGGTGTTCAAAGTGTGCCTTAAAGCACCCTTTTCTACCCAAAGCTATCAAGGAGCTCCATAACCGGGCCTGACAGCTCCAAGCACCAACACAGTCTCACACAGCACACATGGAAGATGAGCAAACCTTACCCAGAAAAGCTCCCCAAAGCAGCTGAGCGCCCCGAGAGAGCTGCTTCGCACCCCCACTTTGCTCTCGCAGCAGTTAACAGTGTCCCTGTGTTGTCATTTGTCCCCTGAGACAGGGACACCGTGAGCATCATAAGAGAGCAGCCCCAAAACCCTCCTACAGCTTGAGCAGGGGCTCGGAGAGCTGCCCCCGCCTGCTCACAAGACTTCACTTTTGGCTCCATGGTGAACCTCTTTGGTTTCCTGCCCTCTGCAAATGAGACCCAATTAAAATAGCTGTTGGGTCAACTGCTAAACAAAACGCTTTTAAAAGAGGCGGAAAAAAAAAAGGGTTTTAGATCCTTTCAGCAAGCTCCCTTTGGAAGGGAAAAGGGTGCAGCACATGGAGCTCGTCCATTTTCAAAGGAGGCAACCCTGCACTGAAGCGCTGTGGAGAGCGGTCTGTGGCTCGGGCACAGAAGAAATAATGAGCCTGGCTTTTGAGAAAAGGCTACACAACTCCCTCAAATTGCTTCATCAGGGTGGCTTGAAAAGCTGAGCTGCAAAAGGACACAGACGCCAAAGACAGAAACAACACTCGTTTTCCCCAGCCAGCCAGGAACAGGGCACGTTGTCAGCAACCATCGCTCTTACAGCTTAGGTAGCGCAGGGTAGCAACTGAGAGTCCGAAGCAGCGACGGGTGGAGGAAAGGGGCTTAACTCCATCGCTGGAGTGAGCCTTGAGCTTGTATGGATTGAAAACCCACAGCGCGAGCGACTCCCGGGGCACTCGGTCACTTTGATTTCGGGAAAAAGAAAAGAGCGGGGAGGAAGTTCCCAACAGCTCAGCAACAACATCAAAGTCTCCATCTCGGCCAAACACCTCTCCTTCAGAAAGCTCCCATGGCTGTGGCCTTCCCCCGAGAGCACTCGTACGTCCAGAAGTGAGAAAACAGCCTGGGTGCTGCAGAGAAACCGAGCACTGACAGCAGGGTCTCCACTGGAGCAGCCGCCTCCCCTTCCTCCTCCTCCTCCTCCTCGCACCCCGCTCCACCCAGCTTTGGGGCAGCAGGGGAACCCTCCGAATCACAGATAGGGCAGATTAACTCACCTCGCTGCGGCCGCCTCTTCTCGTGGGGCCGAGTACACGCAGCCCATGGCCGGGGCAGGGAAGAGGCAGACAAAGAGGAGCAGGGCACGGGGAGCTGTGGGGGAACGGGATCTAACTTAGCTCGGGAGCACGACGCACGCAGGCCTCTCCATTCCGGGTGTTAAAGCCGAGCGCCAGCCTTTTGTGGAGGAGAAGAGAGGCGGCACAAAAGGTCCCAGCATGGGTCATGGCAGGAGCGGTCCTGTCCGCTCGGATCCTCGCGGCGCAGCTTCGGAAGTTACCGAGTGGATCCTGGGGAGCTGCAACATCTGGCAGCAGTGGCAGAAAGGAATTAGGAGTGGAGAATGAAACCTCCCAGGATCCTCCGCAGCACGGGCCCGCTCCCACCGGCATGGAGCAGGGGGACGGGACACAAAACCCTCCCCCGGCCTCGTTACCTTGGAAACTGTTTACACCACAGCTGCTTTCATATATATTCCTTTTCTTTTTTTTTTTAAACAAAAACAAGTCGACGCTGTAGCTGAATGAAACGATTCCAGACACCGCGTGAGCAACGCTGCGGGTAACTATGGCAGTGCCATTACGGAGGCAGCTCAAAGGAGTTTGTTCTCTTCAGGATCCTATTAAATTAAATTAGGGATGGTCTCTCTCTCACACACACACGCAGGCAGCAAAGAGAGCTAATCAGGCTGAGGAGCTGCAGCAATTCCTGCCACAGGAAGCCTTACAAGCACCAGGGAATGGGTTTCTCCATAGCTGCAGAATAGAGATAAGCCAATTTCTGCCCCAAACAATGTTAAAGACTGGGGCGGGGGGGAGAAGGGAGGGGGTGACACCCAGCATACCAATGGCTGTGTCACCAGTGTCTCCCCAGGGCGACAGTCTGCACAGATCCAGAGCGGGCACGCGAGAAAGGAAAGAAATCTGGGATTGAGAAACACGCAGAGGAGGCGCAGACGAAGAACAACAATAAATGAGTGCGGTCCCCAGCAATGTCCCTGTGAGGAAACGCGGTGGCCACGGCTGCGTGGCGATTGAGAGCCGTTCTCCCTAATGACATCTGCAGAGCAGGCAAAGGCTGCTCTGGTGGTTTCAATTAAGCCTGAAAATGGTCAAAACGCAAGGGATCCTCAGATGGAGGCATCCTGGCTTGTCCCACGCACACGGGAGTTGCACAGTGCGGGTACAGGACGTCTCGTACGTGGGAAACCTCTGCGTATGCTGGACCCTGCCCCTTTTCCGGGGGCTTTGGGCAGGAACACGGCTCCGCTTGGCTCTGCCTTGGGAATCAACCAGGGCCTGAGCTGCGGCTGAACCCAGAGCTGCGTCGTCGGGGCAAGTTCATGACCATTTTCAGGCCCCACAGAGCGAACCCAGCCCAGGCGCCATCCAGAACAGCGTATTTTGACCGCGCATCTGCTCTTCCACAACCAAGAGCAGCTGTAGCAGCGGCATTTCCTTTGCAGACCCCGCTGAGCTGATGCAGCTTGGTCAAGGGGTGCTCCCAAAAACCCCAGGAGGGTACCAAGGAGCTGGACACTGTGTTCAGGTCTGAGACTCTGCTTGCCCTCTCCCAGCTTGCAGCAAACCCATTAAAGCAGCCAGCGTGACATCTGAATTACTGTTCTTCCATCCTCCAGTCTTTCGAGGCTGAAGCTGGGGGCCACAGCAACACCATAGAAACTGTGACCCAACACCATCAGATAGAGCAGTGCAGGACAGTTTGGCAGGTCGACCCCTGAAACTTCAGAGAATGTGCTGAAGAAAAGCAGCACCTCTTCAGGTCAAGGCTCTCCACTTCAGCTGGAGACGGCCCTGCCAAGGGCTCGCTGCCTTCACGGGGCCGGGACAGCTTCCCTGCCTGCCGTGGACCAGTTTGCTACATCCAGCCAGCCACAGGCAGCGGCTGGCAGCGTGATCCTGTATCTTGCCGATGTCTTTGTTCTTCAGAAAGGAAACTCCACCCCAGACCCAAGGATGGCAGGAGGGAAGGAAACCCGAGTCTGAGCAGGCTTGTTTTCCCCACTCGTTTCCCTCTCGGTTATAAACGTCCCACAAAATAACACCGCAAAAGCTGTGGGAAGTGGCTGTCTCCGTCCCGGAGGATGCTGTGTGTTGCCACACAGCCCTGTCTTGCAGACACGAGAGGGAACACATCCAACTGATGCAACAAAACAAACCCCCAAGGTAAGGCTGAGCAGGCACAGAGCCAGGGGCTGCTACCAGACATTTGTCCCAGCCAGAAAATACACTTTGCATCTTCCCAGGACACCAGTGCAGCCTGCTCAGTTTGCTCTGACCTGTGGGCTGCTCTTCCCTTACACAGGGACTTCACCACAGACCTACTGTCCCTCCTGCGGTGGGTTTCAAACCTCTGTTCAGTGCTCTTAAAAATGCTCCAGAGGGAACGAGCTGATAAGTGCAGCAGAAAACTGATGTGGTTTGGTACGTGACTGAGACAAGGAACTACACACATCCAGACCACCACCTACACGGCCCTCAGCCTTTTGCAGAAGAGAGGGTGAGACAAGGACCTCTCCTTCCCCAGATCTCATCTCCTACTGCTGCAGTAACCTGGCATCAAAGCAGAGCAAGTTTCACAAGAGCTGCCAAGCAGCTCATGTCCAGGAACCATCTCCCAGCCACCCAAGACTATTCTTTCTCTTCAGAGCTAAGGGTAGATAAGATTTCAGATAGGAAGCCTGCTTAAGAGCAAGTCCACCTTTCCCCAGATTTACCTAAACATGACTTTTATCAGAAAATGCAGAGAATAGCCAAAACAATCCTGAAGAGTTTTGAAGCCCAGCCAGAGGCTTTTCTGCCCTGCCTTTCCTCGCCTTGCTCGGGAAAGGCAAATTCCCGATTTGGGCCACACGGTGGGGTAAGGCAGAACTGCAGCCGGGCTCCTCCGCGGGGATTTCTGCATCGCGAGGTGAACACGCAGCTCAGAAGAAACGTGAGGGGAGAGAAAGGCATTTTGGGACCAAGTCCCCTCACCTGGGGACCTCCTATAACCCAGCCGAGCCTCCTGCAGAGTCTCCAAGGACCCACCATAAGCAACACAAAGCCACACTCGGCCCATGCTGCCCGAGAGTTGTTACTTACACTGACTGTATTTTGGGGAGGTCTGGGACTTCCTCCTTTTTCTTGCGGAAGAAGAACCAGTAAGTGAAGAGCCCGACGATGAGCGAGATGAGGAAGACGTCCATCATGCTCGTCGAGGTAAGGCTGAAGAGAGAGTCTTGCTGCGCAGCGCTGTCGGGAGCGGCGTTGCTTGCTTCCACGTTGGCATCCCCCATGATGGTCAGAGGCACTGCAAGCAAGGAGACCCAAATTAACACCAGCAGTCGCACAGTGCCACAGAAGAGCAACGAGGGCCATTCAGAGCATGGATCTTCAACTACACATTTAGTCCTAGGTGCACAAGGCAGCCCAACAACTCTTTAGAGAGAGCTTTTGCACCACAAGACTGCGAGATCCTTTTGCATCCCAAGGTCTCTCACTGTCCCACCAAGCTTTTCCCTTCCCGTTGCATCCATGCCGGTCCATCAGAAGTGATTTCTGCTCTCCCTACACCAGCACCACTGGAGCAGCCCCACGTCCCAGCCAGGAGCCCAACCTGGCTCCTACTACTGCCCCAGCAACACTCAACTTGTGGACTCATGGCCAGCCCTTACAAAGCCCTTACGTGGGTGCCATGGGGTGTTACTGGGGGAAGCCCCCACTCTTCAGCCACCCCACAGATCTGGGGCATTCTCCCTCCTTCCCACAAGGCGACACGACGCCCCAGACCTGCTGCTGTGCCTACAAACCGCAGAGCAGGACGGCAGCATGGCACTTCTGTGAGCATCCCCACACTAGGTCATGACAACACAAATTATGAATGTTCCTGTTTACTATCCACCTCTTTTTGGGCCTCTGACTTCCCAATCCGCCCCACTCTCTTCCCCAGTTTAACTTCCATCTCCTTGAATTACTCTTTTCCAGTTGCCAAGGCAGAGTTTAAGTGATTTGTGCCTTGCCCATGGCCGTACCTGTGGTAGCACAAGGATGGACACCCAGCCCTCCAGTCCCCAGCCAGCCCCATGGCCCCTGTCCTTCCCCTGGGGAGCCACCCATCACTCCCTCCCTCCTTTCCTCCCTCCCACTGCTCTGCCAAAGCTCTCAACAACTCTGACCCCAGTCCAGATCGCAAGATTATCTTCCCAACGCCCAAGGACGCACTGTGTCCAAGCAAACTGATAATTAACTCACAACTTGATTTGCGAGGGCAAAGTGACTCTCTTCTTGTACTTGGGCCCCCAGCCAACCCAGGGGACCATGGACATTTGAACTTGCACATAGGAGGGTGACTCAGAGCCACAGAGGTGCCACCAGAGAGGAAGGCCACGTCCCATGGCCGAGGGGAGAGTTAACCTGTTCAGCAAAGCTGTGCTGCTGGAGAGGAGCTCCTACACAGCCTTCCTGGGGGCTGGAAAGCAGCAAACTCCAAACTGTGCCTGGGCTGAGCAGTAAAACTGAGCAAAGTTTAAGATCGTGCTAATGCATTCAGGAGCTGGGGAGAAAAGGGAAGGTGATGCTCAGGGTAAAGTCTTCAGCAAAGAACAACCTCTTGTTGTTACCCAAAAAAAAGTCCAGCTCTGGAGAACACAAGTACCCTGCCACAGGCCACCAGCTACAAAGGCAGCCTGAGGAGCACAGGGAGAAGTCCACAGCCACCTGGCAGTGACCATGGGAGGGCTCCTGGGTTCTTTTACAACCCAACTGCTTCTCAGCCCCGTGAGAAGTTTAATTTGGTAGAGAACTTGACCAGTGACTGAACTACAGCGGCCACTAAAACACCATCGCCAAGGTTCCCATTGTGTTCCCAGAGATGACACTAAGCAGGGGTTTGGAAGAAAAATGTGAGCGATCTGACTGCAGAGAAGCACACTGCCCATCCCTCTCCACCAGGCAGGTCACGCTGTCCTCCTCCCTGCAGACAGGCTTGCTTTCCACCGCTGGATCTCAGAGCCAAGCGAGAGCTGGGTGTTATTTCTGTACAGCTGTAGACTAAACTGCTGGTTAAAGCCCCCACAGCCGAAGCTTTGTTGCCAACAAGGCTCAGCTCCCAGCAGGGTCCCCCTTCTCCTCCTCATTTCGTTCCAGTAAATCACAGAGGAGCTGCTCCGGCACCGACACCAAGGGAATGCAACAGCAGCGGGAGAAACATTGCAGGCTTATTGCCTTCACTCCTGAGGAAACCTCAGAAGTTTTAATTGCAAGCTCTGCTCCTCACTGCCACCCCACCTCATCTGCAGGAAGACCTCAGCCAAAAACTGCCAGGGAACCCATCCTCTTGCACGGTGTTGGTTCATGTCCTCTCACTCATCACTTGAATTGCTCATTATTCACTTGAATTGCTCATTATTTGCGTGAATTGCTCATTAATTGCTCAAAGAACCCCTGAGGGCTCCTGGTCAGTGCTTCTTGGGGAGCCTCAGCCAAGGCTCATGCACAGCACAGCCCCAGCTCTGTTGCAGAGGGATGGAGAGAGCAAACACACACAGGGGCTGCCTGGGTAAGCACCTCTAATGCTGCAAGGTGCGCTTTTTTCAGTGCCAGCTTCCACTGCCCAAATTACACAAAGTCGGCCAGTTCCACTCATATGGGGCAGTGATGGCCACGTCACTAAGCTCATCCTCAGCAATGGCCTGTCACTGTTCTCGACAAGCCCCTTCCCAACGGCAAACCTTCGCTCAGAGGAAGCCATAAAAACCAAAACAAGGCTGATGAAGCTGTGCTAGGCTGGTTTTGGGCAGGAGCCCCTCCGAGCACCAAGTCCAGCCCTAGGAAAGCCTCCTCACACAGACTGCACATGGAGGGGAGCTCCAGAAAGGACACGTGGGTTTCGTGAAGGGTTCTGCTGTTCCTGGCCCCCAGAGGGGCTCTGCTTTGCTCTGCCAAGCGGTGATGCCTTGGACGAGGCATCCTCAGGGCGCTCCCAGGAACGCGGCGTGGGCAGACACAGGGGAGGAGGCTGCGCTATGTCCTGGCCTTCACCACGCTGCGGCTCTCCAGCGCTTCAAAGGGAAACCCTGCAGCTGTGGCCGGGCCACCCACCCGCTCCCCACACCCACTGCTGGAGGGAACGGCAGCAATTCTGGATGCTCTCGGCTCCGGTGCATAGACCAGAGCCTTGCTGTGGTCCCCTCTCCTCATTCACAAGTCTCCATAGCATAAAGGTTATACACTGACCTCTAATCCTGGAAGGAAACACAATTATATATAATAAATATAATATCGTATCGTATCATATCATATCATATATTATTTTATATATATATCTCCTCTAGTGATGGGACCAAAGGCATAAGAACTGCTTTAACTTTGGTGGTGGGCTCCATCTGGTCCTGGACATTCAGTTATTCAAGACCTATATCCTAGCTAGGAGTTTTTATTTAGGCTCTCCCTTCACCATCCTAACCTCCAGGAAAAGGTCTGCTTAGATGTAGCAAGAGAAAAGCTGAGTATGTGGAATTAGACCTCACAGTTCTTTTTTTAAGAGGCTGTCATAACTCAGGAACTATTTCTTTAACTCACTTCACCCAGCACAGGAAGATTCTTCCTCAGTTTATCTCAGTGTTACCTAGCTGGCTGTGACAATTGGTTTCCAGAGGTTCACAGCAATTCGTTTTCAAATACTTGACTTTTTCTAACTTCTAGTGAAAATAAACCTGACTCTTACTTGGAATTTAGCTATCCTGGAAACCCCCGAGTCTCTGGAAGGACCTTGGCAGAATGAGACTGGTTTGTTATAAAAGAGAGAAAAAATAGAAATTTTATGATGCAGAAGTAAAAGTCCCCCTGGCAGCAGTTTCAAGGGTAGTTATCTTATCCCAGTGTTTATTATACCTTCAATCAAGATAAGACAGACTTCCAGTTCAACGCCTTCCCTTTTTAAAAATGTAAAAATAAAGTCACGGCTGCAGCTCCCAGATCCTTGCTCGTGCACACAGTATCTGGCGTAAAGCAACTGGTCTCTGCTGAGATGTGAGGCTTCTGTGCCTCACAGAGAGGTCACAACACTTGGAAAGATTGCAATCAAGCAACGCTGTATTTTAGCACAGCTTTTTACCCTCTGCATGCAGCTTCTCAACCTGGGAATTTGCTTGATCCACAGCAGCTCGCAATCATTCAGATCACCGGGGAACCTCTCTGCACATCTCCATGCTGCCAAACAGATGATTTCCTTCTTAGATTAAAAATCGTACTCCTACTTCTCATGCACATCTCTGGAGCAAAGGACTGGAACCATCGTCAGTGCCAGGCATCCTCAAATCCCCTGCGATTTCCACGTGGATTAAAGATGCCATCGCATCGTTTTAAAATATTAAAATATAAATAGAGCATTACAACAAACAAGGCGGGATGGGGAGTACCCTAAAAGCAAGTGGTCAGCAGCCCAAAGAGATCCATCCTTTCCCCTCTCTCGCACACAGCCGACAGCAGCGTTAGGGTTCAGTGCAGCAGATGCCCCCAAGCCAGGCTGAAGCACAGCATCACGCTCATAAAACGTGGCTGGGAACTCTCCCTTTCTGCCCAGTGTGAGGATGTTTCTGCCACTCACATTGCAGTATCTTCTAGTGACCAAAAAGCCTTGGCTCTGAATCTTTGTTTGCCATTTGGGCAAGAAATTGGCTCTTTGTCAGCCTCAAGTAGCCTTTTTTTTTCTTTTTAATGCAATGTCTGTGATGAGTTTCAAGCATCTCAGGACACTCTGACCTCCAGACCAGGACCACAGCCTGTGACTTCTGCTCCAAAAACGAGTGGCCAAGCTCTGTGCCCGACTCTCCTCTGACCCACGGCGTCAGCCCTACTCACGTGAGAGGGAACGGAGAAGGCAGACTCTGACCAGCACAGCCAGGGGCTGCTCCCCGCTCCCTCCTCCCATAACCGATCCCCAAAGTTCAGCCAAACACCAAAGAGAGGGCTCCAAGTGACTCCCCAACACCCCCGTGTCCCGCTGTGCCCTATGGACTCTGCCTGCACCCTCACATCCCCTGCTCCTGAAACAGCCGGAGTTCGCCAACAGCAACCGGGCGGCAGCAGCGCCCTTTGGACGCCCGCAGACAAACACGGGAGCTGCAGGCGGAGTCGCTGTTTTGCAAGACGCGCACGCAAAATTCCGCTGTGACCGAGTCAAAGGAGGAATGGAGTGACATAAACTGTCACCAGCCATGACAACGGCACCGTCTGCCCGACCCTCACGCCGCTGCCAGGCCCCACACAACAACGGGAGCTCAGCAGGGCACAGGCA